GATACAGATAAAATTCTGGTTCAAAATTCAGGCTTCTTGATACTTTGGCTAATTTATAGTGACATTCAGAGTATTTCAAAGTAAACACCATTTCAGACTGATTACTAATTGATGCTCAAGGCAATTAAAGTGCATAGAAACTCCCGGGGTTATGATTAATAGAAGAATAGAACTGAAAATGTCATATTATTCTATCAGTAGGAATCTACTCCAGAACCAAGGTCCCAGACCTGAGATTCCTGGTTTCAGCCAAACTCCAAGTCTCTGACCTCAGCTCCCAACTGCAAGTAAGGGAGGCTTTTGCCAGAGCTGGACTGCAGGTAAGTACGCTGCAGAGCAGCAGCCCAGGGATCCGCGCTTAGTCCTGCCGCCACAGGTACAGCACCTAACAGGGTGCGCCCTCTGAGGCCCCATGGCTCAACACTCCTTCCACTCCACCCCCTTTGCTTCTCCTATTTCCTTGTCCTACAGCAGCCTAGTATTTGCATGGTCCATGATATATCACTAGACCTGATCAAGGCTGGCATGGGAGTTGGGTTATGCTGAGCCTGCAGGTAAAGTTATCAGTGCCAGTAGCTCAGAGGGGCAGAGGGAAGGCAAAGCTTTGAGGACGAAGCAAAAGGAATTGATTAGGTCGGACAAAGATAAGACTGGAACGGGACCGTCTAGGAAAGAATAGCTCAGGGAACTGGATTTAACATTTGAGGATTAAGAAATCTGCATAGTCTCTGGTGATTAGGAACTGAAGGATGAAGTTGAGAATATGGAGAATTCCTCTCTGTGTTCAACCAGATATCCACACTTCAAACATACAACAGATAAATGGTTGATAATATACTTAAAAGCTGCTGGAATACATCCGCCCCCGCCCCAAATTAACTAAAAGATGTATTATAATTATTATAGTTAACGTCTACTAAGTACTTTTTCTCTGCCGAACTACTAATAAGCATCTCATTAAACATTCACAGCCGTCCTATGAGGTAGATATTATCATACTGTTTTTACAAGCAAGGAAATTAATGCTTACAGAGATAAAATAACTCACCCAAGGTCACATAATTAGAAGTGGTGGAACCAAGTTTTAAACAGTCTGAATCCAGAGCTTACACTCTTAACACTAAGTTATAGTTGCAGCTCAAAGAAAACAACTGCAAAAAGCGGGAAGAAAGTTACTTTAAATCAGGGATTTCTAAACTTGTAGCAGTGGACTCTTCTCTTCAAATGAAATGCTTCTCAGAGGCCAATTTATAAAAGAGACAAAAGCTAAGCAACCGTCCTATCTGCCAGTAACTGAGGCTTCAACAGAACTTATCAGAGCATATGCTGAAGATGACTATTTTCTTTCATTCCATTTTACTTATAAGTGGTAATACTATTGTATTTTAAATTCTACTAGAAACTACTTATATTGAAAATGAACAGAATGCAAGATCAATAGAGGTCAGGGCTCTAAGGACATGCATATTTACTTTAATTGATAACATATTCCTAATGCAATGGTTTTAATATATTTAAAACCAATAATTTGCCTAAAATGATCCACAGTGGGGTATGGATGGGAACAAGGACTTGAAACACATACTGTTTAAATTCTACCCACAGGAAAAATTTTGTGGGCAAATTACTACGTGTGTTAACTTTGGATGTTAAGAAAAAAGAAAGGAGAGATAGGAATATGATTCTAAAAGTGTTCCAGGGCTTCCCTGGTGGTGCAGTGGTTAAGAATCCGCCTGCCAATGCAGGGGACACAGGTTCAAGCCCTGATCTGGGAAGATCCCACATGATGCGGAGCAACTAAGCCTGTGCGTCACAACTACTGAGCCTGTGTGCCACAACTACTGTGCCTGCGCTCTAGGGCCTGCGCTCTAGAGCCAGCGAGTCACAACTGAGCCCACGAGCCACAACTACTGAGCCTGCATACCACAACCACTGAGCCTGCTCTCTAGAGCCCGCGAGCCACAACTACTGAGCCCACACACAACTACTGAGACTGCACACCACAAGTACTGAGCCTGTGCTCTAGAGCCCACAAGCCACAACTACTGAGCCCACATGCCACAACTACTGAAGCCCGTGTGCCTAGAGCCCGTGATCTGCAACAAGAGAAGCCACCGCGATGAGAAGCCCGTGCACTGCAACAAAGAGTAGCCCCTGCTCGCCTCAACTAGAGAAAGCCTGCGCACAGCAAGGAAGACCCAATGCAGCCAATAAATAAATAAATAAATAAATTTAAATAAATAAATAAGTAAAACTGTTCCAATGTCCAACTTTCAGGCTGGGGTTTTTCACCACAAATAATGTGCTTCTCTTAAACTTTGACATTTTGGAAAATGTTAAGTGAAGAGCAGGTAATGAAAATGTTACATTTAAGTGCACTTTGCTGTCAACAGGCGATGTATTGTAACACAGCAGCAAAAGAGTTGTTAAAACTGTCAATCAAGCCAGGTGGACAAAAGCTTTCCTGACTTGTTTCAGTCCAGGTGGCTGTAAGTTTCCTCATGAGTGCTTCAAGGTCAGCAGTGAGGCACCTTCCTCTGCACTCAAAACAGTTCTCTGTTGCAGCTGTTAGCAATCTGTATCATAATAAAAAAAAATAAAACCGTATCCATCCCACTCACACACCTTGCAATTATTTTGTAGAAATACCTGAGCTTCCCTGTTATGTATTAGCATTGTGGTGGGAATTTATTTATTTTTTAATCTGTTAAGTATTTTAAAATTAATTTAGGGCTAATGTTTATCTCAGAAAAATCACAAACTAAAAACAGTCTAATTTTCTGTGGATCATTTAAAGAAAGGAAGGAAATGGTAGGATGTAATCTCAATCATCCCTGCCTATAAACGGTAACTTTAAGCAGTACAACAGCCTCCTGTTTGCTTCCACAGTAAACACACCTGCGAATTAATAGCGTTTTCTCCTTGGGAAGTGGGCAAGCTCACCCAGTGCCTGAAGTCAGGCTCACCTGAACGCCCCTGGACTCCCTCAAAGAGCAGGAAACTGGTGAGATATCGCAACATCAATTTCAATGTATTGTACTACGTTGAAATGCTCTGTGCTTAATCCAACATATTGTTTGCATTCTTTTCACATTTGGCCCATGTAAAACTAAAATCTATGGATTCCAAGTTGAAAAATATTTCCTCTAAATTGAAAAAAAAAAAAAAAAAATCAACAAAGCCTTGTCCAGGATACACAGTTCTACAGAGTGGCTCAGGTAAGGAAACCCGAGTTTTAGTTCTATGAATTGGGACAAATGCTGTTAGTGTGGCTCTCTCATCTGTAAAGGGGAGCTATATAGCTTTCCTATTTTAGAGTTCTCTTGAATAGAACAGTGAGATAATTTATGAAAAAGCTGACTGTAAGCTACCAATGTAAGTTATTGTTATTAGTTTACCATTAAGCTTGTCTTTTCAGAACTCTCTCATTATTCTTAAGGTGAGGATTGGCTGAATTTCCAACGCAGTGTTATAGATTCAAAACTGAATACAGATACTTAAGCTTCATAAAACAGATGTTCAAAGAGAAAGCCCCAAGCATTTGAAATTCTGGTGGACTGGGCAGGGGAAGAAAAACTCTGCATGGTTCCAACCTATCCTGAACCTCCTCCACTTCAGGTCAGGAAAAGAGAACAAAGGTATTCTGAAGAGGTAAGTGATTCGGGGGGTTTGTGAATCTATAAAATTTACGAAAGGAAATACTCAATCGTATGCATAGGCAGATGTGTATGGGCTCTACGGAAAGGGCCCTACAAAAACTAGACTGAGATCATGCGGTCAGGCCCCAGGAGTGACACTGTTCTGTCTGTGATAACACGGACTTTGTGATTCCTCCAAGTGGTCGGCTTTCATGTGCCGAAAGCATGTCATTTAAAAATTTAATCAGTTAACATTTCAATTACATCTTTAATTACTGTACTTTTTAAAGTTTTAGAAGTAGAAAATACATGCTTATTAAAAATCAAACAAAAAGTTTAGAGTTATCATTTTTAAAGTAATAAAACATTAAATTTCCACCAATCCTAACTCCTGTCCACCCATGCTCCACAGGTGTCACTGTGCAGTGTATAGTTTTCTATTCCTCCAACCTTTAAAATGTCCACACAAAATCCAAATCTTTCACCCAGATACACGTTAGCCAGACTAAACGCCCACTGGTACTGACAGCTTGGCCGCCTTCCCTGCTGGCGCCCACAGAGGACAGCAGTCGCTCCTACAGACCAGGCGCGCTTTCCTGGAGCACCTACAGCTGCTGTGCTGGCCACTCCACCTGCTCTCCATCACTCAGACCCACCCTTTCTTCAACCCTCATCACATTCACTGTAACTGAAACCCCTTTTTCCTCCTCAGCAATTAATGAATCCTCTTACCTACCTATGTATCTTATAAAGTATTTTACTTGTTTTCTAACTCTTGCACTGTATTTTTACTTGCATATGAACTAACTGTATTATATGAATCAATAAATCAAGACTGCCTATTAATGTGAGGTAAGTATGTTGTGCATTAAACTGATATACTGAATTATGAAGTTTAATTTATGCATCAATTTGTAATGAGATAGGAGTGAATTTTAGAAATGATGTATGCACACGTTCTGTAACTTATTTTCAATGTGATGTTCTCCCTTGCTACTTAATCTCCCCAACATTGTCTATTCATCCTTACGGTTCCCTTCCTGAAAAATATTAAAAAAACTCTACCTTTCATCACCTTACTGCCTGACCACAGTGATGCATTTATCTGCAGAAATATGTAACAATGTGCACTAAAAGTTCAAGAATATACAGAGCCAACAAAATAATAACAGCGATTTTGTGGGGTGGGGGTCACCAAGACCTTCAGGGACAAATAAGCACATTTACAAATATATAAATTTTTTAAAACATTGCACAAATAAAGTCTTGTATCAAATACTATAATCTCCCAGATTATTTCAAATGAAACAATTTGGGGCATTATTACTCATAAAAAGGAAGCTAAATGCAAAAAGGCCTTACGGAGATGATTCCAAAACAATGCTGTTAGCTTGCGTGGAAGATGGAGACCGATGCCTCACGAACACCTCGCCTGGGCAGGTGTGAACCACGTGGCCGACCAAATGGCCCACTGAAGACGGCCGTAACCTGGTTCCCTCTTGGGTGAATGCAGAATTTCGACTACGAGAAGAGGAACAAAAACTGAGTAAAAATGTACTGTAACTCAGTATGTTCAAGTTTCTTTCTTATATGATTGCAGTAGAAAGTGGGTGTGTGTTTTTAAGACTGACCACATTTTACTAAGCTGAGTCTCTGACAAAGACACTATGGTATAAACAGAAAAAACACAGAATAGGAAGTCAAAAGATCTGAGCTAGAGTTAGCAATCTGCCATGGGGATTTTATCTATTTCAATCATCTATTATCCCCACCAACCTTAATGTTTCTAGGTTTCAGTCACTACAAATATGCGTCTTAATCAGCATTTACAAAATAAAAGGAGAGAATCAATAATTCAGAAATATCCTCTGGTCTGAATTCTTTTTTAATCCTTTAATAAATACTTTTATTTATGGAATTTTCTATAATTTCTAAGACTAGAGATACTGAATATCATATTTCCATCTTCATAAGTGACACAGTCACTTTAGAATTTAGGGAAAAAACAATTTTCTTCATATCATACATAAAATTGTTTCATTAACAGAAAGTCTGATCAGAGTTAGTGACAATTAATTAATTCAACCATCTGGTTTAAATTTCATGTGTCTTCCATAATTTGCTGTAATTGTTTAGTGGGGTACTGGTAACAAATAAGGAACGGCTGGCTGGAAAAGGAACCAGAGAAAGAAGGTTCTGGATCTTCTCCGACAAGCTGATTAGCCTTTGAATTTATATGCAGTCTATTATAAAAAAGATGACTTAGCAATCTACAATTAGCAAGACACTGCACAAACTTTTGAGTCTATTTTGTTTCTAGTAGTGAGGAAGACACCTAGCTATTAGGTAACCTGCTGTGAACCAAGCTGTTTGTGCACACACTTTACTTCCAATATGGTAGGAATTCACTCTTAAGCTGACAAACACCCATCAGTGAAACAACTTTTAGAATTTAGTGCACATTTATTGAACATGAATGTGTATGAAATATGTCCAGAGGAAGACTTCTTTAAATATTATATTCCATGCCAAAATTCAAATCTTTCTTATATCAACGTTTTGGGTTAACGAGGACGGTCAGTATGGTGATATTCATTTTGTTATCATTATCTTAATCACATACATATAATACATACAACACATTTGTTAACATTATGAAATTAAGATAACATCTTTGGCCAGTACACGTTTATTATCTTATTATTACTACCTACACCCAAGCATCCAGCTTTTGTGAGAAATGCTAGGATGAAGTGCAAACACAGTAAGTGCTCGGTAACATGTGCTTCTCAGCTGAGCTATGGCTGAGCTGGTGGGAACTGAGGCTGGAAATCCCTTTTCCTAGACCACAGACACTGGCACAGCAGAAGCAGGGTAGGAGCTTCAGCAAGAGAATCACAACACTTAGCATGTTCAAATAATATGCACTCTCCTAGAAATTATGCTGGAGATACACATGGAAAAGAGTTATGTCACTACAACCATATTCCCAGATTTTAAGTCTACTAATAGGCCTTGATATATTGGCTAGTGACCCTGACTGTGGAAGTCAGCTTTGTAGTTAAGTGAGCATCTTTATGTCGTGCTCTGCTTACACACTGAGCTCCAGGCTGGGAGGAAATAATGCCTTGGAGCAACGAAAATCATGTCTAACCGAAAAATTTAAATTAAATTTTACGTATTATAATCTTCAGGCAATGGAAACATACAGCCGAACATTTGGAAATTAGCAAAACGTACACCTGATGTACTTACTGATTAGGAGTGCCAGGTGGGGATCGCGACGGAAGGCTTTGTGTTTCCAACCTGTCATCGGATAGTGAATTTCTGCTTACTACTTCCCAATCCATTAATTTCCGTGCCAAGGGCTTACTTGGGGATCTGGAGTAATAATTTAAATAATATGCAAAAAATTTTATTTTTTACCCCGAACTATGTACCAAACCTTACAATTTGTCTTAATACATCATATTCTAGATGAGTAAACACAACATGTTTATTTACAAGAAATTAATGCATTTGGAGGCTACTTACCAAACAATTTCCTAAGAAAGGAAATCTGCTGTATATGAAGAAAGAAGGCAAGAAATAGTAGGAAAGAGAATAGGGAAGAGGAGAAAAACGAAAGAAACAAAGAAAGAAAGATGAAAGAAAAAAAACAATGGAATCGTTGGCTATCAAGTTTTCCCAGATACTACCAACATTATATTTTAGACATTATCTGTCTCTGTCCCAGTGTCTCTGGGACTTGAGCTTATCTTGTGGTGTTTTAAACAATTCCTAACACATCATCTCCTGAGTGTCCTTAAACCTAAACCCTGGCCCTCTGCCTCAATGAGGACAAGGTAAAAATGATAATTGTGTATATTTTATTTATAAATTTTCCCCTTTTATATACAGTAGGCCAGTGAGTTTTTTTCTTTTCTTTTCTTCTTTAGGAAACATTTGGAAGGTTAATTATTTTGTCTCACGGTGGGGAGTAGCATATGTTTTCTAACCTGTATATTGTCAGTTACTATAGTGATAAAGAGAGTAAATGATCTTTTCAGAAAAGATATTGATCTTTACTGAGGTCAAAAACCCTTAGAATTTTAGGTGAATTAGCAACTCAAGTCACTTTTTATGCAAATTCAAAAAGTGGCCAAAGTTCATGGAAAATACATGATATCTATTTAAATGCCTAGCTTTTTGACATGCAGAGTTCATATGAAGGCTAATATAATGAATTAAGCAAATTACATAAAAACACATAATATATCAGCTTCTAAACTTAGACAGTTTTATATTTCAGTAATAACTCACTGAAGCACATACAAACAGACTAGACTACAAAGCACGGTAACACTGACCACGAGTACTCAAGAAAATTTACATACATGGTAGGAAGCATTAAAACAATGAGTGGGGGGCTCCCCTGGTGGGGCAGTGGTTAAGAATCCGCCTGCCAATGCAGGGGACACAGGTTTAAGCCCTGGTCCGGGAAGATCCCACATGCCATGGAGCAACTAAGCCCGTGCGCTACAAGTACTGAGCCTGCGCTCTAGAGCCCACGAGCCACAACTACTGAGCCTGTGTGCCACAACTACTGAAGCCTGTGCACCTAGAGCCCGTGCTCCGCAACAAGAGAAGCCACTGCAATGAGAAGCCCACATACCGCAACTGTGCACAGCAACGGAGACCCAACACAGCCAAAAATAAATAAATAAATTTATTAAAAAACAAACAAACAATGAGTGGAAACCATCAATCCTAGCTTTGACCTTCCCACAGACAAACCACTTAAGTTTCTACATATAAATATCAAAATTTACTAGTAAAATGTATGCTCCTACAGTCCTTCCCTACCTTCTGAAATGATCTATGAGTATCTACATTTTCAGTGGAATGTTTTAGTTTATTAATTTTACTAAACCACAAGTAACTTGAATTACTTCTGAATCTAAACCACACAAATGCCCTATCATTTCATGCATTCATAGCTAAAATCTTTTTAGTTTGGCCTAATGATGTTGCTTTTTCTTCTTCTATTTATTTTTAAATTGAAAAATAGTTGACTGACATCTCCCTAATTTAAGAACACTGAACATTTCTAAAAGAGATGTAACGTTATCAATTTTTTTAAAAAAGTCATTTTTCATAAGTGAATCTGAAGTCATTAAAGCATAAACATTTCCCATTACCATGAGTTTAAATTACAGGATTTTCTGATTTGAAGACAAGTCAGCATACCATTTAGTCTAACCACCTCATCAGTCACAATAAAATAAAAATAAAGTATATTATCTCATGCATTAGATTTTTTAAATGAAGTAAAGATTATTAAAAGAAACAACATTTATGGCTCTTCTGTTAATGTTAGTAAACAGACTACTCACATATTGGATTATTAAATGTAAACTGTTTAAGTGAGTTCACTAGCCACAGTCAGGAGATCAACTATTTTCATTTTCTAAAAGAGGGAAAGA